TACCATGAAGTCAGCTGTACTCATGAACTCGACAGCTGTTTCATCAGGTACAAAGGTGTTTGTCAGCTTTCGTCTGTCTATTTTAAATCTTGATTACAATGTGTTTTTGAGTTACATGGGGAGGAAGCTTGCCTGTCTTTACTGTTATTAATAAAAGCATGTCTCTTCTATGTAATAATATTTATACATTGTGTAGCTGGAAGAAATTCAAGTACGAACAAGCGTTAATTAACTGCCTTGTTGAAGACTTGCTATTATCATACACAAAGAAAAATATTTCAAGGAGGAAAGAGCCCTGCTGTGATTGATATGTCATATTCAACTTTTATCCTCTCCTTGTTCCTCCTTGATGCAAGAACGGCTTAAAGACAAACAAACCACGAAAATCCAAAGGTGTTTTGATTAAGGCGTTTAGAATAAAATGTATAATCTACTACAATATATTGAAACAGAATAGGATGAATGTATTATAATAGAATGTAATGGGGTATAATTAATTAAAAATAATAACAAATTAGAAGATAATACGGTACAGACATAACAGATCCACAACAAGAGGACTTCGAACCTCAAGGTGAAAATAAAAATTGGATTAAAAATATATTTAATGTCGATATTTAAAATTTAATGGGACTAACAGGAATAAAAGGAAACGGTTTGATTGAAATCAATATGGATACTACGTTAAAACTTTAATTAAAGGAAAATTCTCTGGCGAATTTCTGGCTGCCCAAGGTCCTTTATGTTGTACCAATTCCTTGACTAATATGCAGATTCCTTACTGCTAGGAGTTATTATCCACTGCAAAATCCCAAGCTCGAGGACTGCCTCTTGTCGACCGTCCGCGAATGCCTATTCAGTATTTGCACTAATATTCTATGAGCCTATGTCTTACATTATATTCAATATTTGCACAAATATTCTATGAGCCTATGTCTTACATTTATTTATTTCTACAGTCGATACATGTAATAAACTAATTTTTTTTTTGAGTGGTTTCACTTTTAATTTTTTGCCTAAATTATGTTCTAACTATGTAGGTTAAGTTCATGAAGATTTTTATAATATTGTGAGTTTTTGTGCTTGGTTATAAAAACTTAAAATCCGCTGAGTTATAAGAAAAACCAGCATTGTCTTATTCTGCATTCCTGTCATAGCCAAATAACACTGATTGACACACAGCCAAGTATTTGATTAATTATCATTGTAATGGGTTTATAGCACAACTGAATTAGTGCGATCCGGAACGTCTATTGAACACCCCACGAAGCAGGTCTTCTCGAGACACGGTTCCAGAAATCCGGGACGAGCCAAGAAGAATTTCCATGCCCAAAAAGTCATTTATCAAAAGACGTCGAGGTCCCGAAATAGAGACCCCCGTTTGCCGCGTTTAGTACATCGCAGTAAATAAGATGGATGAAAGCTCATTTAGGAAGTGAGGAGTTTAGAAAAGTGAGGGGAAGGAAGGGGTAGGAGACTATATATTATTTTTGTTATTCTAACATCCCGCGACATTAGAAGGAAGTTCACAAAAACCCTTCTACACTTTGCTGTCCTGAACTAAAGGCTACTCAGACCAACGGCAATCACACGAAACATATGTAAATACTGGAGTCTTCACGTAGGTTATGCTTGTGACATCCATTAGCAGACAGAGGTCGTGCATGTCTGAGACGTTTAATCTAAAATCCATTACGCTGTGTGCAGTCAGGATTCCGGACGGCAAGGCTTCGTTTCTGACATTCATCACAAAATATTAATATTGCGGCTAAGAAATCAAAGAGGGTGAGAATGGCTGGGGGCGAAGCACGCACGACAGAGGTGATAATTTTTTTTTTAAGTGTTCTGTCTGACGACAGGTCCATATGAACAGGATCCTTCCATCCTTTTCTCGGACTGGGACCTGTTCATATACGTTCTTGGCAGATGATCCAGAAGTGGTTTGCCATTGCCTTCTTCTGTGTGTGAATGGAGTAATTGTTGGGATACCACGGAGGAAAACTCCGTGTTGCCTAGACCACGGCCTTGCCCAACACAAGTTATAAATTCGGGCACCGCCGGGAATCGAACCCGAGACCCCAGGATTACAAGGCCAGCGTTCTAACCGCTAGACCACCGTGGCTAATTTAGGTGATAAATACAGAAATATTTGTCCGGGAAAACGTTGGAGGGAGAGTCAGTTATGGGCGAAAGGAAAATAATAGTGGAGGTCTTGGAGAAAAACGGTGTGAGAATGTGGATTGGATTCATGTAGCTCAGAACAGGGAGCAGTGGCGGACTCTTGTGAACATGGAAATTAACTATCGGGTTCCATAAAAGGACCGAATTTCTTGCCTACCTAAGCAACAGTTAGAGCCATAAGAAAGACTCTGCTCCATGAAGTTACTAATTTAGATAATTTAATTATGTATCTTCATCAGCATAACAGCTAATGGTTTATAATTCTTACAGTCTGACGGCAAATAGACAACTACAATAGGTTAAACCATGGAGATGATGATGATGAACAATTTAAATTCAAACTTCTTAATTAATTAATTACTTTGTATTAGACATAACTGGAAAACATTTTAAGAAATAGTTTTGTTTTGATGTGCATTTCTACTGATAAAAACTACCTTTACCATAATGCCAGCCAAATGCTGGGCCACAGCTGAAATTTATTATCAAGGTACGATAATAATTTATCATGGCTATTGCACACCTTATACAACAATTACAGATATGTATGGACCAATGGTGGAGAGATGATTAGGAGGGACAAGCAAGGAACTATTTCATTACCACTTTTTCCACCACAAATATCCCTGATGACGCGTAGATATGTATTTATAGGTCTATTATGCATAAAGTAAATTATGACAAGCTCTATCTAACCACCCTTAATTATGTAAAATTTCTCTGCCAGTAGAATGTTTCAGAACTCACACGACAGTTAACAATCTCCTGTCCCACGACAAAAATAATAACTATGCAATCGGTCGTAAAAAGAAACTCGGAGAATTAAGCTGTATAATGTTGAAATCACAGTTGGCAAGTTTTGCCATATGTCAGCGTCGTCTTAGCTGGCAGAATTGACATTGAAATTTCGTCGCAATGTTTGAAATTATCATTCAAGAACTCAGAAGCAGACATATATTTAGGAATAAATTAATTAGATGAATGACTGAATATGATATCTTACCATATCTTACCTAACAATGTGAAGACTAAACTAATTTTAATTTTTTGTATTGTATGGGTGTGAAACTTGGTCTGTCTGGGGTGGCTTCCAGAGCAGTCTGGACGCTGTGACAGTGAGAACAATTTCCACTACTCCACATTTCAATCATGTTAATGTGCCTGATCCTAAAATAGAGTAAAGCTGTCCCACTATACGCCATGTAGGCGCTTGGGGGGAGAGGAGGTATAGCTCCTACTCATTCTTGACCTCGGCACTAGATGGGGTAAGTGGTCAGCATCACGCCCCGGCCGTGCTTTACCCCAGGGAAAGAATCCCGGTACCCATTGGATACGAGGCTGGGCGGGGCCCAGAGCCGGTCTGGACGCAGAGGCTGGAGGAAAAATTCCTTGCCCCCGTCGAGATAACCCGGTTCAATGCGATTGATACTGCAATTTGTAAATTTTAATTGAATTTGTAAACTTGCAAATATGCTAAAATATAAAACATTTCTTCTGTCTGTTTGTACAAACCATAACGATGTATTCTACCTGTGTTTGTTGTCTAACAGCATCACATAACACCGTTATTGTTTTCGTACACCAACTATGAAGTAAATTATTAACATTCATAAATCTGCAACTGTAATTGTTTACTGGGCAGTTTTCTGCACAGTGGAGGCTGAGATGTGAGATGAAAATATGACGTAAGAACAGTGATGATGGCCTACGGACCCAAAAGTATATTATAAACAGAAATCAATTAATGAAAGA